GTATAGAAATGTGAGAGGGGAGTGTGAAGATCTAAACAGGCTTTTAGGACAGCTGTGTGAAAAGTGGAAAAACAGCAAAGGGACATAGAAGCAATAATAATTCAGCCAGGACCAGTCAAGAGCAAAGTAAAGGGGATATCAGACTATGAGGGAGCTCTAAATATCTCTCTATATAGGTTAGAGAGACCTATATAGAAAATAAGGCAACATGTGGAACTCAGGACCAATATTATCTGAGCAGGTGAGGGAAATAAACTTAGATGTGGCAGCTTTCTGTAAAAGCTGAGAATAGGGTGGGGCTTAAATTAGTTGAGTCCTTGGTGCTGGAGCAACCATAGACAGTGAATAGATAGTGGTCTGGGAGTGAAAAGTAAAATGCACAATCCAGAGTGAATGTGACAACCTAGAAAAGATGATCCTGCAGACTGAAAAAGAAAGGTTACAGCTGGGAGCATATTTGGACAAAGTTTTTCAGCATAGCCAGGCCAACTGAATAATCTAAACTTTTAATTTGATGTAATCATATTCAATTTATTTCTCAAATCCCTCATACTGTTATCCATTTGAATCCACTTGGAACATATTTGGGACAAAAGAGTACAGTCTTTAGTGGGAAAAGCCCTTTTACAGAGAATATACCAGGGTTCTGGAGTACAGCTATTTTCACATTCAGCCTCTTTGCTACTTTAGTATGTAAAACATCACTAGCACAATCAAATGCAACTGCTTTTTAATACTGCTTCTGATACACATTGATAAAGTTAAGCTGTACTGAGACATACACAGTATACTTAAAAAATACTTCATAAATAGAGACGTTTCGATCTGACAGTGTGTGACTTTGAGAGTCCTAGTTCTGGCTTCCTTCCCAACTTTGATTTTATGCATCACTGTAACCCTGCACAAGTGATCGACTTGCACTTTACCACAGTTGCATTATCTATAAAATAAAGCAGTAGAACAGCATCTTTAAAGTGTCTTCTATTCCGTGATTCTATGGGTTTTTTGTTTATTATTACTAGCTTTTCCGAACTACTTTAGAAATAAGTGTGTTGCTCATAACATTTCTGGGAGAGAATATATTTTAAGTTTTAAATGACTGACTCCCATTCTAATATAGTGAGATTGGATCTCAGATTCTCACATGTTGTTCCAAGCTGTGACTTAATTTTAAAATGAAGGTAAAATAAACTTTAACTGTTTCTCCTTAATAATTAATATCTCCCTCTACTACCTTCCCAACCTACCTTAACAGGAATTATGTCATAGTGTCCTTAGATAATTTGTTAGTTGCCTTCTCAGCTATGTGGCACTTGAACAAAGGCTTATACAGGACATATTTTCAACACAGAAAATCATTTTGGAGGTTGGGAATAGGCAGGTAGAGCTGGAAATACTACTAACAAATGGGAAGAAAAAATCTTTGACACGAATCTACATGACAAGAAAAACAGTGCCTGAATCTGAGTGAGTGTTTTCAAAGAGGCAAGAGACATGTATGTGTTTTTTGTTTTTGTTTTCTAGGCTGCTCAGGTCTGTAGTTGCTGAAAGAGGAGAAAAAGATGAGACTGGTCAGTGTTCAGTTTTAGTGACCTGGTAACTTGTGGTCTCTGGATTTTTTGGCATGCTTAACCCTTTGCACTGGGATGTCCCATCTGAGGGGACATCATAACTGTAGCAAACTCAGATGTCCCCTCTCAGGGACGCAAACAGATTGCTGGTGATTATACAGGACAAACTTAAACCAGCGTAAATTTTTCAAATATTTGTTTCCTTGAAGTTTTACATTTAAACAGCACAAAACAAATAGATGGAATATATACTGAGATATATGTAAAAAAAAATCAGCTGGCATTATGCTGAAAGAGAATGCCCTTCCATATTATCTTTGAATAACAGACTGGACAATAAATTACATATTATTAATGTGGGAGGAAGAAAACGAGACTGCTTTGCTCGGATACAAAAATACCAGGTGGAAGATGTCAAACAGATTACTATTGCACAACATGTGTCAATGAACCTGCCGTGCATGTTGGTGACAGTTTCACAAGGTTTCACACATTAGAAAAATATATGCAATTTTGATTGTTTTTGTTATAAATAAGTTTCTCAATGTCCAAAATTCCAGTATAAGCCAAATATCATTGCAGTAAAATAATTGGTTCTAGTGTTCACGATTTAATTGGAAGTGATTCGTTTTTCCCTGTCATTGTAAAAAATTGCGGTCAAGTTGCTGGTGGCTCCGAGAGCAAAGGGTTAAAGGCACCCATCCTGTTGTGAGCGTTTCTAGCAGCTCTGTGTTCCAGTCGTTTACCAGTAAATTTCTGTTCTTTTTGACTTACTTTGCCTAATTTGAAGGCATTGAGAACTCCTTTTTTTCCTCTGCTAAAGTTTCAACCCCTTCGAACACTACACTGCTCCTTTGCTGTTTTCTTGTCGAATACTGTTTTTCCATGCAGCCCTTTAAAAATTCAAGTCCAGTTGTTTTAAAAAAAAAATCTCAGGCTGGGCTCAGTGGTTCAAGCCTGTAATCCCAGCACTTTGGGAGGCCAAAGCGGGAAGATGGCGTGAGCCCAGGAGTTCGAGACCAGCCTAGGCAACACAGAGAGACCTTGTCTCTACAAAGTCAAAAAACCAGCCGGGCTTGGTGGTACATGCCTGAAGTCCCAGCTGTTCGCCAAGGCTTCAGTGAGCTGGGATCATACCACGGTACTCCCGCCTGGATGACAAAGTGAGACACTGACTCAGGGTGAAAAAAAGGAAAACAAGAAAAATCCTCATTACTATTAGAATACTAGTCTTTCTGATGAATAATTAGGAGTGCATTTTGCTTTTGGTTACCAGCATCCTCATTGTTCTGAAAACAGCTGTTTTTGACACTAAATTCTAGTTTGCATCGGTGCGGTGGCATACTCCTGTATTTGCCCAGCACTTTGGCAAGCTGAGGAAGAAGGATTGCCTGAGCCCTGGAGTTTGAGACCAGCCGAGGCAACATAGTGAGACTGTGTCATTAAAAAAAAAGTAAAAAAAGCCAGGTGTCATGGCGCTCACCTGTAGTTCCAGCTACTCAGGAGGCTGAGGTGGGGAGATTGCCTGAGTCCAGGAGGTCAAGGCTGCAGTGAACCGTGAAGGTGCCCCTGGACTGCAGCCTGGGCAAGATTAAAAAGAAGTGTGTGTGTGTGTGTGTGGGGGGGCGTGTGTAGTATGCTACATAGGCCATTTTCTCAAAGTTGTTAATCTGGGGTGATACGAAAATCTTTAAAAAATGTATATATACATGCATATATTAGGAGAACCTCCCAAAACCCAGAAATTATCTTTTGGCAGTCAGACTCCTTGTAGTACAGGCTTCCCCCCTCTAGGTGAGTGTTCTAAAAACCCATTGGTATCAGTGTACCTACCACCTAGCGTTGTTGTGAGAAAATGCGTTGAATTGTTTTCAGGAGATCCTTTCAATGCGTTTGCTCACTTCATGTTGGGTGGTTTATGAGCACACCAACATCTTGCTGAGTGTTCAGTTTTTGACCTCAAACCAGCATGACCCCTGTGTCCCACCCTCCCTATTCACTCAGTCTTGCTCCAAGCACCTTTTTTTTTGTTTCCCAGGATGAAAAAGTTCTTAAAGGGATACTTTTTACCAGTGTGAAATAGGCAAAACAAAAAACAACAGAAGCACTTAAAAGACATCAAAATTGATGAGTTCAAAAACTGTTTTGAGCAGTGGAATAAGCATCTTGATAGGCATCAGACAGAGTACTTTGAAGGTGACTGAAGTTTAAACATGTAAATAAATGCACAGTTTTTAATAAATAAATTCCTTTTTTTGTCCCTCCTTACATGTGCATACACTTTCTTTAAGATTTATTTACATTGGCATTTCCTTAGTTATTTTAGAATAAGTTTAAGGCAAGGTCAGTGTGCGTTTTTTTTTGTTTTTTTTTTTTTTATATTTGCGGATAGATAAGCTTTATTTGAATACCTGCATAAATATAAGTTGATGACAAACAGGAAGAGGTTTTCCAAAGGCTTAGGATGTATTAAACAATAGAACCTGGTGCTTCCCTTTAGATTGTCTGAGGTCAGCTGGCTGACAGACACATCATTATTAATAGTCTGCTCTCACCAATCATTTTCACCACATACAGATCTCAAATCTTTGGGTAGTACTTCTCATTTCTCTGGTAATCTTTTAAATTGCTTTTAGTTACAACAGAAGGGCAGTTTTTAACGGCTCATATCTACTGTATCTGAGGAAAAACTACATTCCTCAATTCTCTTGTTTAAATTGTGGCTGTTTGTAAACAGTGTACAAATAAAGAACTTAATGTTAACATACAGAAAATATAGTATAACCTCTATGCTGTAGCAGTAACCTTGGTTTAATTTTTTGATTAAATAATTATGATTATCTTCACTATCTCTCCATATGAAGTTATAAAAATACCTGAGAAACACTGAAAAAGTATTTTAAAATCCCAGACTGATATATCTTCTATGATTTACAAATAAGAACATAATGTTAAATTCCACAAGTTAGAAGTTCCAAATGACTCTGATAGAAATTTACTAGAAAGATCCAGGACATCAAACCTTAAATATTTTCTATTCACCCTCAATTACGTTTTTAAAAAGCTGTACATCTGTTGACAAGCATAGACCACCCAGTCACTTGCCGCTGCCACAGCAATGAGGGCAGAGGTCTGGCTGCTGCTTGTGCGGGGTCTTCCGTGCAGCTGATTCAAGTGGTCTTCTCTTCTGCCTCCCCTTAAGTTTAAAACAAAGGTACAAGTGTACACATGGCAAGAAAATCTCAATAGGATAAAAAAATCTAAAATAATAAGCAAATATCCTTGTCTCCCACACCACAGCACATTTTCTGTCTTCAAATCCTCAAATAGTCACAAGAGTAACTCACAAACTGAAGTCAGCCTTGGAGTCTCTATATGAAAATACTTTTCAGGCCTTTGGAACTGTGTCAATTGTCTCATGTGTTATGCAAAGCAGCACACACACAGTGCTCAGAGCAAAGTCCAGGCAGCAACTTAGACTCCACTGCTTGCAGTCATGGCTCTGGAGTGTCCCTGGTAACAACCACTGGGTGAGCAGGAAAGACTTCCAGAAACACTGGTTGCACGTGTTCAGCCAAGTCCCTCCTGAATGCCTCGGATTCTCCTGGCCAGCTGCACATCCTTAGGGAAAAGAGTAACTCGGCCGGCATGTAGGGAGAGGAGATAGGCATCCTCAAAGAGATGGACCAGAAATGCTTCTGCTGCCTCTTGTAGGGCCAACAGGGCCTGGGATTGCCAATTGAAGTCCACACCACGAGTGAATTTAACACATATTTCTCTTACCAGGCGGCTGAAGGGGGCCTTCCGTAACAAGAGATGTGTGCTTTTCTGAAGATTTCGGATCTCCTTTGTCCAAGCAAGTTTCCGCCGACCACGCTGACGGGGGGAAGTGCCTGGGGAGGCGCCCCGCCGAGAGGGGCCGGGGGTCGGGGCCGGGCTGGCGACGCGCCTCCTCCGGGCCTCGGGCTTGCGGCGCGGGCCCCTGGCGGGCTGCGCGGCTCCAGGCGCTGCTCCGACTTCCGGCCCCGCGG